AGTGAAAATTAGTTTTGAAGCTTCCAGTGGCGCAAGGGCGCCCTACAATGGCGCAAGGGCGTCGTCCCCATGGTAAACTACTGCACATTTCTTCAATATTTTTATCATAACTTTTTATTCCAATATTCGATTGAGGCGATTCAAGAAGTGTTGGAAAACTAATTCAAAGGGCTACAACTTTACTTCAGACATATCCTCCAATTCGATCATTTACTTTGTCAAAAGTGAGTCTCAGTATGAGACTAAAACTCCGGAGCATAACTTCTCAGTTGGAAATTGATTTGTGATCATCTTTTGACTAAATTTGAACCCTTTAACTTCTTTCTTTATCCAATTGACTCCGAGCACTCTCAAATCTTCCTCGTGAGGTTCGGCATAACATTTAAATATTTACACTTTAGTCCCTGAACTTTAGATCTCTTACAATTTAGTCATTTCTCCAAATTTGTCAACTTTTACTTTTTTTCTTCATTCTCACCAACCTACATCACAACATCAAAACACACATAAAAATACTCTAAAACTATCTCAAGGGTAACAAAATAATGTATTAAATGACATAAATATCATAAGTGTAGAGCACTCATCGGTTATATATCCGATGATTCATTTTATTTTCAAATATTGTTTATAGCACAGTTGGTTAGAAGATATACATACAAATTGGAGATCCAGAGATTGAATCTCTTTCAAACTAGTTTATTGTATAATTTTATAGTTCACAATTTTTAAAAAAACCAATGCAATAGGGAGGAAATTCGAACCTGTAACCCACTTTAAGATTATTGAATACTTGATTATCATGACACTTGTTCAATTTTGAATCTAACATAACAATATATATTAGTTTTAGTGCAATTGTAAGGATTCGAACATATACTTTTCTTTTGATTTATAGGAAACATAACCACTATATCATTTGGTGAACATTGTCCATATATATAATAAAATTATATATGTTTAGTTTTAGTAAAATAATTATTATATTTAATTTTTAATATTTTATTACGATTGATGGTCAACGGTCAACGACCGTCTGTGCTCACTCAAAATTCTGGATCCGTCACTGCTTCACTAGCTATGCTTTGGCTTTACATAAGCAATTATGGTCACCGTTTAACTTAGGAAGATGACGAGGTTCTCATTGTTTTCATCTAGCCACAAGGTTTACTAAGATATGATCCACCTTTGGTGAACATTTTCTCATTGGTGAGCTTGGTTACTAGCTTTGCCTTAATGAAGAAATCTTGACAAGGCACATATGGGTTCACAAGATTGTTTGACTAATTCGTGAGGACATGCTCAATATGAGACACATGACTAATGTTTCTGATGTGGCTAGCATGTGACATTCACGTGTGACAAAACAGTAATGTGTACGTTTGGAAGTAACATTGTTGATACGGTGAAATATGACATTGGTATATCATTTTCTGATTTTTCATTTTAAATAGGTGGATTTTTTAATGTTAAAATTTACATCTTGCAATCTTGTAACTACATTTTAAATTATTGTATCTGTTTGATTTCATCATTTGAACATATAAAATCACTCACATAGACATCAAATAATGATGAAATTGTATGAAATTATCTTGATTGAGACAAACTTCCCTTAGTTATTCGATTGAAACAAATTGAACAACAGTTAATATAATGAAATACATTGAAGTTCAGCTACTTGAGTGACATTTGATTGAAAGTGCAGTTAACACTAATAGAATTGCCCTACGAAATAAATGAAATGTATAAATAATAAAAATAAAAGAGTATTAAATGCATGAAATGCACAAAAATGTATAAAATTGCGTACAAAAATGTACCAAATATTTGGAACGTATGAAAATGTACAAAATGTAAGAAGATGCATAAGATTGCACCAAATGCACAAAAACGTACCAAGAGTGTGTTTGGTAGGGATTTTTGAGGGAAGAATTGATTTTTAAACAGTGATATGATGTGAAATGTGTGGTTGAAAAAGAAGAAAAATGTATTGATGTGATGGAAAATATTATATTATTGAAGAATGTGTGATTAAAAATGAGAATTGATTTACTGTAAAAATTGAGAATCTGTACCAAACAGGCTCTAAGTCCCTGTTTGGTTTGGATTAAAATTTCAAATTAAAGTCAACAATTAATTTTAACGACATTTTATGAGACCTGCAACTTTTCAACCACACATTTCATCAATTTTTATTAAAATTTACTAAAAATCTGATTTTAATCTCTACCAAATATGGGCTAAATATATGAAAATATGCAAAATGCACCAAAAGTATAAAAATGCACTAGAATGTTTGAAATTTAGAAAATGTACACAAAATATTAAGACCATGTTTGGTATAAATTTTTAAAAATTCATTATCTCTTGAATTTATTTTCAGTCACACGTTTTTTCAATAAAATATCGCATGAGGACTTATAATATATTTTACTTTTTAACCACGGAATAAAAAAAAAAATCCAATGAACAAAATTGTACGAAACAAGGTAACTTCCTTAAAGGGTCAATATATACATTTGGTCCTTAAAGTTACAGCATAAAGTTAAGTTAGTTCTCAACGTTTATATTGTTCCAAATCAATTACTAAAGTTTTCTAATAGTTTCAATTTAGTCAATTTGTCAGCTAAATTAATCTGAAATCCCATGTAGGCAGTAAAACTGTTGTGTACTAATAGGCAACTATTCTCATTGCCACGTGCTAAAAATAGAACGACAAAATACGAAACGCATTTTTTTACAGAAAAAATTTCAATTGATTTTACGTTTTGGTCTATCTGGGATATTAAAATCAAATTTAAATAAGCAATAAATCAATTATAAGAAAAACAAGTTTCATGGCTACGTCATTTCATTTTTTACATGACTAAGGCTTGCTTAGCAATGAGATTAAGGGCTCATTTGACAAGATATTGTTGGATAATTTCAACATATTTGAGGTCACACATTATATATTAAAATGTGTGGTGCTATTATTGAAAGGATATTAATCAATTAAAGTGATCTGTTAAAAATGTATTGTGACTAATGGGTATTAGATTTCATGAAAATATACTGTAGAGACCGAATTGTTGTTTTAAATTGATGATGGGCCAATTTGAAGCAATTGAAAGATAGTAACTATTGAGTTGTTACTATTATTTTATATGGTCATGGTCTCCATTTGATGGTGTTCTTAAGGTTCTCTACATCTCCATCAAATAGAGAGAGCAAAATTGAAGCGAAAATCACCAATCAATTGGAAGATAGTAACTCATTCATGCTAAGATTCAGAAATCTATAGATCAATGTATGTTTATGCTTCCGTTATTTTCATTCTCATTGATTTTAACATGGATGATTATATTTTGAGAATTGCGGATTTAATTATTGTTTTGATCGATAATCTTATTATGTTTTTCTAACAGATATTTGAAAAGTCGAAAATTATTTTTAAAATTAAGAAGTTACTTTTGAATATATTAGATAATTTTTAGAACTTTGATCAGTTAGAAGAACTTTCAGAGAAAGTTGACCTAATGCAATTTCTTCTAAAACTCTTTTACAGAAAGTATAAGCAAAAATAGAAATCCTATCAAATGTGTCCTAATATTGTGATAGTACACAACAATTTTTATGGTCTACAAACAAGATTTCAAGTTAACCTAACTAACAAAATGAAGGAATTGAAAACTATTAGTAAACTTCAGTGACTAATTTAGAATAAAAATAAACATTAAGGACCAAATGTGTATTTTGAACCCATTCTGAACTGAGATTACAGATATGGGAGTTGGGACATGAGGCTCAAAATACTCTCAGAAAACCTCACCTTATTCCTCAATTCCACGCACAAAAACACTGACACTTGAACTGAGAAAGTGAAAACACACAATTGTATAAACTAAAATGCAGCTTCTTCGCGCTCCATGCTCTTCCTCTTCGCCATTTCATTTCTCGAATTCACAACCCAGAGGAAGTAAGTTTTGCTTTATATGCAGTTTAATGACGTGTATCTAACTTAACTTTGGACTTTTTTTATGCCTGAATTTTCATATTTATTATATTCAGGATCGATATATGTAGTGTATCCGATGAATCTCTTGTTCGATTTTCTGTTAATTTCTTGTTTCCATCTCAAGGACATGAAAGGCCTGCATGGGTTTCGTTTAGAGATTCAGCGTGGAGCTCAATCACACCTAAAGCTGCTTCTATTCAAGGTGGACTTTTTATTCCAAACAAATTCAATTTACATAATAATGAAAACCCATTAGTAGAATTTGACTAATGCAATTGGATTATGTGCACAAGTTTCATATACTGGTTAGTGCTGCAATATGAAGAAAATTTTGAGTTGTTACTGCAGAGCACTAAACAGGAACTTGAATTCAAAATATTTGTATTCAAGCTCCTTACAAGTTTGAAGGTTTGTATGAGTTTCTAGGGTAGATCTCAAAACGAGATTTGAAGGGGAATGGTTGTTAGTTAACATTTTTTCCCCTCACAAATTCAACTTTGGTGTTAGTCTTAGATTCCTCTATTTACTGAAATAAAAATGGGTATTACTTTCTTCATTTTGGTCAAGAGAGGGAAATTTTTTATGGACCATTACAATAATTTTCCGAATCCTGCTGTTGGACGTTGCTGGCATTTCATTTTTTTGAAAAGGTTGAATCTAGATGGAGGTGAAAATTCTTTTTGACATGGATGAGATTACATTCCAGAAATACGCATATAGGCTTGAATTTAGAAAGAGTGTGTGTGTGTGTGTGTGTGTGTGTAGAGAGAGAGAGAGAGACTGTTTGAGCCCCATTTTTATGATGAAATAGTATTTTGATAGAGAATGTGTGGTTAAAAAAAATAAGGGAGAAAAATGTATATTGAAGAATGTGTAGTTGAAAATAAAGGAGAAAAATGTATTTTGGAAATAATGAGGATCAAACAATGACATATTTTCCTATAGAAAATATTAGTTTTAACTCTCAATCTTGTTAGAAATTTTTGCTTATAAACAGAATGCTATACTGGGTAGAAGTTTAAGTTCCCAGTGATCTTACCAACAGAGGAAACATGGTTGGAACTAGTTATATAAGGCTGAAACAATTATCACAAACTCTTGTTTGGACGATATTAGATGCCCAATGAGAAAGTTAAGATCCTTAGGAATCTAGACTGGAGTCACAATTGGTTTGATATTTTTTGGTGCAAGATTCCAAGAGCTGAACCTAGATTTTAACAACAATGTTTGGAGTCCTGTACCTATGCATGTTTTTATGCGGTAATTAAAATAAAAACTTGTAGAGCATCATGCTATTACAACATTTCTGTGATTAAAGCAATATGTATTACCAATATTTTTTTCCTAAGTTATCCAGACCAATAAAAAATGGCCATGTAGCTCATAGCTATGTAGGAGCAGTACTTTTGCTTGTTTTTGTAAAATCATTAAATTAAATATTGGACAGCGAAAGATTTTAATTATGTTTCTGTGGTTGTCATATTTCCATTTTTGCAAGCCACGATGACCAACAAGAAATAGCCATGATACTCATGGCATATTATCTTTTCCACACTTCATATGTCATTAAGACATTTTTGGCTTAATGTAAAGTTGTTCTTATCAAACTTTTAATTGCAGCTTCTGCTTCAGCAGTATCAAGTCAAACAGCTGAGAATGATGTGCTAAAATCTCTGTCTCAGATCATAGATCCAGACTTTGGCACAGACATTGTCTCTTGTGGATTTGTGAAGGACCTTAATGTGAACAAGGCATTAGGAGAGGTTGTTTAGAAATTAGATGTGATAAATTCCAAGATAAGTACGTGATAACTGATGTCCTCATTCAACTTTTATCCATTGATTCGCAGGTTTCTTTTCGGTTAGAGCTGACAACACCAGCATGTCCAATCAAGGACATGGTAAATGTCACCATCACCATTGTTTTATCCAGATTTGATGTGTGTATCTAGTGGTACATACCATTTTTAACTAATTCTTTTACTTACTTTAGCTTTGTTCATTGCTCAATAATATGCAAAATACCTGACGGAGTACTACATTCTTCTTCTCATTCTCTCTCTTGGATGGAAAATTTATCAAACTAACTTTTATTGCACACATTGCACAGCGATTGACTATATTTTGTTTGTTTAGAGACGATTATTGTTTTCTGGGTACATTTGGAACATATCTAATGTCATCACCAAATTGTATATCTAGTTTGAACAGCAGGCCAATGAGGTGGTCGCAGCACTTCCCTGGGTCAAAAGGGTGAGTATGACAATGTCAGCCCGACCAGCCAGACCTGTTTATGCAGGGAACCTTCCAGAAAATCTGCAAACAATATCGAACATCATTGCCGTTTCAAGTTGCAAGGTACAACTCTCTAAAACCTTATGACTCTCTTCATTCTGTGTCAGTATAGATTTTCTTAAGTAAGTCTGAGATATGATACCAAAATAACGAATTAGCTTTGTATCAATGTAATCTCATCATCTATACAGAACGAATTAGTGTGGTATATTCATATCATAATATATGAACAGTAAGAACTAACATTTTTATTGAGATTATAACTCATAGGAAGAAGATTTATGGATGAAATCAGATACACAGAATATGCATACAAAAGTATTTGGTTATTTATTTCATACTTTTTATTATGCTGGGATGTCTTGCATTTTTGCCCAATTTCGTCCTACACCATTTCAAGAGGGAAAACTATAAGCTTTACTTCACGTGAAGCGGATACCTAGTCTGGACATAACTAACAATGCTCTTAAGGAGTGGCCGCAGAGTTCCAGCACTACTAAGTCCTGTTATATAATTGTGTTATGCTCTGAAAACTTCCCTCGTATATATTTATGTGTGTGTGTTTATATGTTTCCCTATGAAATGTAGCGTATTGGCTTCTCATAGTAAATGTAAGTCAATGAACCAAAACACATAAATCTTTACGCCTTTTTTGCCCTGTTATTATGTATGTTATTGAGTGTTACTGAATGTTCATTAATATACTGGAACCAGATTGGCAGTGTCTTTTGATATATTAATACTCCTATAATTGAAGGGAGGGGTGGGAAAGTCGATAGTAGCTGTGAACCTTGCATACACTTTAGCTGGTATGGGTGCAAGAGTTGGGATTTTTGATGCTGATGTATATGGCCCCAGTTTGCCAACGATGGTCTCCCCAGAAAATCAGTTACTTGAAATGGTAATCTTTCAATTCTGGTCAAAAAAAAATTTAATTCCTTGAATCAATTTATAATCTTTGAAAGCGACCTTCTAGAATCCGGAGAAGCGAACCATCATTCCAACTGAATACCTGGGCATTAAGTTGGTATCATTTGGATTTGCTGGCCAAGGGCGTGCAATAATGCGAGGTCCAATGGTTTCAGGGGTCATCGATCAACTATTGACTACTACTGAATGGTATGACATGTTCCTACATGAATCAGAAAGTTCAAGTAACAATATACAATTTAAGGTGAATCGTGTTTTCCGGAATTTGTTGATAGTTCTTGGTTATTGGGAACTATGTTTCTGATCAACCATTTCATTTTTCATGATCGTCCATGGTATGCTATTGAAATTACATACATAACTTTTAAAGCACCTTGTTAGTTGGGCAAAGTCCAGAAGTACTGGAAAATAAAGGTTTTTCTTGGTGATTTATCAAATGATTCACTAAATATCGATTTTATCAAAATGGTCAAATATTCCGAGTTGATGTGGCTTTGCTTTGATTGCACTTCTTGAATTATATACCAATCACATTCGTTATTCTAACGAGGATGTGGCATTGATTAGATTTGATGTCATGAATAACAATCTGATCATGATTTGTTACTACTACGTAGGGGAGAACTTGACTACCTCGTTATTGACATGCCCCCTGGAACGGGTGATATTCAACTCACCTTATGCCAGGTGTTGTTTTGATGCCTATTTAACGAGATGATTTCCTAGCATTTTCAGTGGAGTCTCTTAAAAATATAACCATATAATTTAGAGATGCTCTTGATTAACTTTGACAGATTCCACTTTCAGGTCGTTCCATTGACTGCTGCTGTCATTGTTACCACACCTCAGAAGCTAGCATTCATAGATGTCGCAAAAGGAGTTCGCATGTTTTCAAAGCTAAAGGCACGTTTCTTATATTCTCTAATGTGGTCTCCTAAAGATTTGAACATTTCTTGCGTTTGAAATGAATTTAGTGTGAGACAAATATATAAGTTAGGATAGTAATAGGTATTGGATAAAATCCCACCAAACATGCAGTGAATGCAGCGGAAATGAATGACCTGGAAAGAAAAAAACACAAATTAAAAGTGGTTCGGCAAATTATCAATAACCACGAGAGAAGAAGACTTTCTTAGCTAGGAAAACCTTGCAATACAATATTTTCTTTACTTTCTCGACTTCTCCATACACAAAATTAGAACACTCAACGTATGCCACAAACATGCATGTACCGTTTCTCTTTCTAGATTTCTCTCTCTAAAACTCTTACAATTGTGAATGTACATAGTTCTCTTCCCGAATTCACCTCACCTTGTTTCCATGCACACTAGACTCAATGCCATGCATTCCTTATTTATAACGAAAGCGTTCATCCTTTTCCTAATTGCATATGAAGTCATTCTCTCGAGTCTCAATTATATTAGGAATCCATTTCTTCTTATATAAAATCCCCTTTTCACCCAAAAACTAATAATTGAATTAGGACTTAAATTAGACTACTACTATGAATCCTAACTTAATTCTACTAATTTTAGTCAATCCCAATGCTAGGAAGGGTTTACAATTGCCTTGTATATCGTTTTAACAGGTGCCTTGTGTAGCTGTGGTTGAAAATATGTGCCATTTTGATGCTGATGGAAAACGCTACCATCCATTTGGTAGAGGGTCAGGTTCTCAGGTTTTTGATTGCTTTCTTGTCTAACTTTTGTTTTGCCTGTCCCACTTCTCAGCCACTACCAGAAACTTTGCTACAAAATGATGGACAATGATAATAAATCATTTATAATATTAACCAAACAATGTCAAATAATGCTGCGAGTCTCCAGCATTTCTGCAGATTTGTACTTCTGTCTCATTTCTACACACACATCTGCAGGTTGTTGAGCAGTTTGGGATCCCCCATCTTTTTGAGCTCCCAATTAGACCAACTGTAAGTTTCACTGGCGGTATGCTTTGGTCATTGTTTATATATATATTTAACTGGGAGATCTAAGCGGTATAGTCAGCCCGGATAAAGTTTGGTTATTTTCATTTTACTGTACTATAATTCAAGACGAAAAGCTTTTCATGAGTCTCTATTTGGAAAGAATATTTAAACAGTTTTATTTGTAGATAGAAATGAGTGGTGGATTAGGGTATAGTACTTATGGGTCCATTGAAATGTGTGGTTGAAAAAGAAGTTTGACCAATTTATAAATGATTTATAAATTTTCCTAACAGAGGACAGTCGGAGAAAAACTTTGTTTGTTTAAGGGAGAATTACTGTCTTTACCTCATCAAATCCTTTGCACCTGACCAGTTAATTAGAATTTTGCACATTTAAGTAAAGTCCATTTATTTTAAAAATCATTTATTGCATATTAGTAGTTGACTTTTGGTAGCATGTAATTATTGAAAATGAACAAAAGACAGGACATTTACGTTTCCTGATCTCAATCATTTTGCCTTCATTTAATTAATATAATTTTTCAGTAATTGGCATTTTATAGGGAATATATGGGCACTTAACTGCCAATGCTATTTTATTTATTCTTTTGATACTATGTTTAGATTTCTTTGTGTCCTTAACGATGGATGGGAATGCGTAATAAATGTGTATTTGAGTATTATTCTTCACTTCACAGTTATCAGCTTCCGGAGATAGTGGAATCCCTGAAGTCGTGGCTGATCCTCAAGGTGAAGTTGCAAGAACATTTCAAGAGTTGGGCATATGTGTGGTGCAACAGTGTGCCAAGATCTGCCAACAAGGTAGCTTAATCTTCGTTCTTTTATGACCCGGGAATAGATTTCAATTTAAAATGTAGGAAAGCATAGGTGCTACCTTTATTCAAATGGTACAAGGACTTGTCTTGTAAGTATTATTGGGAGATATTAGTTCTGGAAGAAAAGGGATTGAGTTTCAAACTAGATATCTGTTACTCACAATATAAGCAATTGATAGAACTTGTATATGGGAATAAACCAGCCATCACTAGCCAGGGTTGACATTCAGCACAAATTTGTGAAGATCTAAAGTTTAAACTCTTGCTGTGGACTTTCTTATAGAGCATCTTTGTTTGCTACAGTATCGACGGCTGTCACTTATGATAAAGGTATGAAGGCAATCAGGGTGAAAGTACCCGATTCAGTTGAAGAGTTTTATTTGCACCCCGCAACCGTTAGACGAAACGATCGATCTGCTCAAAGTGTGGTAAGTGGAATAATCTTTTGCAATTTAGTCATTGAGATAATAAATAAGTCGACATTAAACAATACTGTACAGACATTAAAATGAGAATTGTTATTGAAAACATTAAAAGTGATCGTACAACACTCTTTTATGGTGCCACTTTATATGGTTAAGTAATTCACAGTTAGAGACAACTGTGATTTGAATATACGATTTGCGAAACAGCCATTGATTTTCTACGTTACATCAAATGTTAAGTCATTTGTGAAAATAGCTCTATCTTGAAACTATGAAGTGAAACCTATATGGTCTAGATTTTTGTGATAAAGGGAAAGCTCATAGATGCTCTCCAAGCTGTTGGACTAAATTGAGTTCACAAGGACTTGTGAGGTAAAATTTATTTGTACAGAGACCGAGAGAGGCTGGAAAATGTGCTTACTGCCTAATATCAACTGATATATCTATTCCCTATATTCTTAGGTCCGTACCATGAACAAAACATCTATAGTTATCATCACCACATTTTAGATTCATTTGAATAGAGTAGAATGCTAATGGTCTGACCCGAGCTGGAATTCATAAAATTGAGTAATGTAGCACGACAGTTCATGCAACTTCCAGGAAAAAAGTTGCTAGAATTTGGATTTTGGAACCAAAGTAAATGAAAAGTTACTTTCTGAAATAAGAACCCTTGACAAAGTACCATTTTTATCTTCTTGTAGTGATTTTGTTTTGAGTTGAACTATCAAATCTTCTCGTTTCATGTGAAAGCTGTTAATCCTTACTAATGATCATTTCATTTTGGTCTAATCAGGATGAATGGACTGGTGAGCAGAAACTGCAGTATGCTGATGTTCCAGAGGACATTGAACCTGAAGAAATTCGGCCCATGGGAAATTATGCTGTATCGATTACATGGGCAGATGGATTTAGCCAGGTACGTTAATCTAACCTGATTTTCAGCTGGTAAATGATCAATATTTCAAAAAACTAATTGTTAAACGGAAATTTGACACATTGTTGTGCAGAGTTTTCTGGTTAACAATGTGAACTATCAGAAATTTGGCTATTTTGTGGCTACAAAACAAAATCATCTCCACGGTAACTTAAAAACACTGAATTATGCATGTTGGACACAGTTAAATGCAGGCGGATGAATAAGTAGAGCGAGAACAGTGCTTATCCGTCCTTGATATTCGATATGAGCAATTGAGCATGATAAGCTTTTGCCTCAAGTTCAACTAAATGGTAGCTTGAAGCAAACTTCAGTATTCCACTTTGTGCTGATGATATTTTCATGTGTTGTTTTTATTGCAGATTGCTCCTTATGACCAGCTGCAAACAATGGAACGCTTAATTGATGTTCCGCAATTGATCTGAACGGCAAATTGGCTGTTCTGAGGTTATAGCATAGATGCTGAAAGGACCACACGATCAATTTGTACCTTGTGGTCAGTTGAATTCACGAGAAGATGGAGATTATGTTTAAAATGAATATAGGATTCTAAAGATACTTTGATTGCTTCAATTCTACATTTCAAGTAAGTAAATTTCTTCACTGTGTATAGCACTTGGTATGGTTAGTGTCAAGGACAATTCTTGTGGTACATTATGGGATCCATAAGGGTCTACATAATGGATACTTTGCGGCCTACAATTGGTGGGAGTGACCAATTGTAGGCAGCAATGTGTCCATTATGGATCCCATAATGTACCACAAGAATTTTCCTAGTGTCAAACAGTACTCTTATCGACCACTCTATAAATAAGTAGGTGCAAGTGTCAATGGCAAAGCAAAATTAGTGTGCAAAACATAGCCATCCTTCTAAAGTGCCAATTGACTCATCACTAACTCCTTTCTCAAGCTCATGTGCAAAAATCATTTGGTTTGTTATTCTGAAAAAATATTTTTCAAAATAAAAAAATTGAAAAATACATTTGATTTGAAATTTTAATAAATTGTTGAAATTTGATTATTAGTAAAATAGAACAATTTTATGTTAATATATTATCAAGATTGAAATCCATCAATTGATTTATATGACACATCATTGATGCTTAACATAAGATGAGTACCGGTGTTCAATAATCATTTATATATATATATAATAAAAATAAATTAATTAAGTTGGCAAAACATAGAAAAAAATTAATGACGTAAGCTAAGAGTGTGTTTGTGACACATTTTTTTAAAAGAATGTATTATTGAATAGTAGATTAATGGAGAATATGTGGTTAAAAATGAAGAAAAAGTTATTGATGTAATGGAAAATATTATTTTATTGAAGAATGTGTGGTTGAAAATGAGTAGAAGAATGAGAATGAAAAAAATAATGTGTACCAAACAGGGGCCTAATGATGAATTCAAATTTGCATTCATCGGAATTGGGTGATCTCAATTTTAATATTCGAAATCGATTTGAATTGGAGAAGAACTGGACCAAACTAGCAAGTTCAATTCAGTTTTGTTATAGTTAAATCCAACAATTTTGTCCACCCCTACTAGTCTCTCAATTTATAGGNAATTAATATGCTATTGAAAAGTCAATTTTAGCAACTCTCCTGGAAACGTTGTCAGATGAAATTGGATTGTTTATTTACGTGGGTCCCACCAACTTGGTTAAGTAATTGGAAAAAAATTGGACACCTGTCTTCAAACACTGCTGGAGAGCAAGTTTTTTGCCAAAAAAAGGGGTTTCAAACAGGGGCTAAAAATACGTTTTGAATTTTATATTTATATTTAACCTTTTTTTTTTGAAAATATATTTTAGAAATTCTAGACACATCGAGTTTTTGTAGTTTTTGTAAATTTGAAAACTAAAAACAGCAAACCAAATGCCTTCTAAAATATTTAAGTATTATATAAATAATCATAGAAGTGGATTATTGAAATTTAAAATTCGACCTAGAGAGCTAAATTTACTCTCTATTTTAATTTTTTTTTAAAAAAGATTGTGTTGGGAAAATAAAATGAAGAATTTGATGAATGTACCTTTAAAGGCCTATGTGATAAAATTTTGTGGGTTTCATGATATATGAGTTAAAATAAAAATTTGACGAGTCAAAAAATTGATACATTTTAGTAAATTTTTATGCACCAAATTTAAAGATGTTTCTCTTGGGCAGTGTACAAAAATGCTATGCTTCGTGCTCGGGGTGTTTTTTAAATGCCCGCATATGAAATGTGCGAGATAATACGATCAACTCATTTCATTGATCGCATATGCGCATTTAAATGCGCATGTATTTGTGTTAAAAATTGTGTCTAAATTAGTATAGCAAAGTTATTCGCATTTTTATAACTTAAAAAAAGAAGCAAATTGAGCACAATAAACATTAAATTACCTCAAATCGCCATGAATTATATACAGCAATCTCTAGGTTATTGGCGCTTAGAAAAATAAAAAATCAAAACAAAATTTTTGTAGAATTGCAAACTATCTACGTCAAGTCCAAGTCTTCTTCTTCGATCTTCCTCTAATTTCATTGCTGAGATCTTCATCTAGTTGCAGAAACTTGAAGGTGCTTTTTTGTCATTTTTGTATTGCTCACCTAATAAGAACTTTAAAGGTCCTTTTTTTCCCTCTGATTTTTAGCATCCGTTTGGGCTCCATTTTTTCAAAAACTCATTTTTAACCACATATTATCCTAAAAAATAATTATATATATATAAATTGAAAACTTTCTTTATTTTTTTATTAACAACATATTTTCCAAAATATCATTATTCCAAAACATATTTTCTCTCTAAAATGGGATCAATCATACCCTTTATTTTAGAGAAAAATATTTATAAAATTCAAAGAATGCATTATTTATTTATTTAAAATAATATTAAAATTTTTAAAATTCATAATTACATATATGCTTCGTAATAGACATGTATATGTTTATAATGCTTAATACTCGATCGAAACGCACTACATATTTTACAACTTTCCTTTTTCGTATCCTGTTTGAGTCCCAATTTTTACCCATAATGCATTTAATAAGAGTATTTTGATAGAGAATGCGTTGTTAAAAAATAAAGACAAATTTTAAGTTTGCGTATCATATTAATTAATTAAAAATAAAAGAGAAAAATATATTTTTAAAATAACAACCAAACAAGGGTTAGTTACAAAAGCGTCACGCATATGCTCTTTATTGGAGTGCACGCAACCTTGGGGGCATAAATCACGTCTCCCTTCAAATTTTCAAATTCTCTTGAGAAAATTCAATTCCCCACTACTTCAGAAGTCAGAACTATGCTGTTCCCGCAAAATTGCCCTAATTCTCCACTGCCAGTACGCTCGATTCGCATGATGTCCTCCACCACTTCTCACGTAGTTCCACCAGTTTCTATTCCGTACAAAGAACTTAAGGTGAATTGTTTCGATCATTAGTATCAATTCTGTTCTGTTACTTATCCATATTCTGATCGTTTGTTTGTGCTGTGGTATTTGTTGACGATAGGATCAGAATGCTGATTTGTCAAAGAAAATCGAACAGGGGTTTGGGCCAAATGGTCTCGGAATTATATCCATATCATCTGTATGAAACAGTTTTTCCTATTACTGTTGCTATTTATTTATTTTTTAATTTCATTGTTAGGTGTCTTTGACAATCAATTTCGTAAGCTGCATGTTTGGTTTTATATCTTATAGGTATGTTTCTTTTATGATCAACTCAGTATGATTAATTTATTAATCCTTTTATTTTATACAGCTTTCAAGGTAAGTTACTTTTCATGGAAACAAAAAACACATTTATAGGACATGCATCGGAACGGCTATTAGTTGATGTTAAAAAATTAAGCAGAAAAGTAAAATTGAAGTTATGATTAATTGTATATATTACTTATTTTATTTTTTCCATTTTCTTCTGGGCATGTTCTCCTCATTTTCTAGCTATCACTGGGATTATTTCAGTTGAGCAGTCTATGCGAAAGTTTCTGAGTACCTATTATGCAGGATTTTTCTTTTTTTCATTTGTATTCCTATATAAGCTACACATCCAGTGTTTGACTTTGGTTATACATGGGAACTACTTTGAGCTTTGTTTATCACGTGCTATACTAGTTAATTATTTTTTTTTTTACTACTTTTTCTTTTTTTAAATTCAATTTTTGCATTTGACTCATTTCATTACAGGTCCCTGGGTATGCTTCCTTGCGCCAGAATCTTCTCCATCTTGCACCCAGGTACAACCTTTATGAGCTACTCCTATTGTCTGTTTTACATAAACTTGATTTTTTTTTTAATTCCATAGGTATTCAGATTATGTTTGCCTTCTTCCTCTTTCTACTACTCATCACTTTCTTTTTTATCAGATTAGCAAGCCTTCCAGAAGAGGTGAAGAGGGGGTTAGAAGACCCTAATAGCAGGTAATGTAAATTATCTCTTGATTATTTCTTCAGTAACTATTTTTCACTTCTTGGTCTTACACACTGCTGCATTCAAGCTACATTGCTGATTATGTAACTTTTTTGACTATCTTCCAATTTGTATAGATTTTTCTTCTGGTATACTTGCTTGAAACTTCTTGGAATGATGTTTAACAACCACCCCGCCTCAGGGAAAAAAAGGAGAAAGCTCCTACCTTACTTCTTTCTATTCATATTTGTCTAAATTATGGAGAGAACATGTAGGTACAACTTTGGATGGAGTCATGGCAAAGAGAAGCTCGAGTCTGGAAAACCAGGTAAAAAGATTGGCGGACATTTAAAAATTTTAAGATATAAACCATTTTTTATCCTTCATATTTTTCTTGGTGTTTACATGAGATGACGATAGAGATTGCATCCAGAGTGGTGGAGATTGCACTACTAACAAGGGATATTCCAATTGAAAAATTAGCACTTATTTTAAATGTAAATTTAATTAAGTAGATAATTGATTTTCTTGTAATAACTAAGGGTGCGTTTGATTGCGAGGGTGGAAAATTGGTGGAAAGAAAATGATTTCCAGGAAAAGTAATTGTTTAGAAATTGTTTTGCATAGAATTGTTAATTAAGTGTGTTTGATTGGTATAATTTTCCACCCNTTAGTGTTCGTTTGGTTTCGTTTTATATAGAAATTGGCCATTAAAGTGAAATTTTTTTTTATAATTGGTTATGAAATTTGTTAACATTGCCAAAAAAATAAAATTGGCAGAACATGGAAAATGCTTTCTCTTGGCCAAATTTGTCATATGAAACACCTACTTTGCATGGAAATGGAAATTTTTTTCCTAGTTCTAGGGAAAATAAAGGTTATCAAACATGGCCTAAGAGAAATTCCACCTAGCACCCTGGGCAATTCATTGTTACAGTGACATCCTCTCTCATTTGAAAAGTTTTAGATATCTCCCTTGTCAAGTGTTTTGCATAACACATACATTCATTGATGGTTTTTAAGAAAAAAGACGTCAAATATTAAAAAAAAAAAGAAATAATCTCTCTATGGTTTGAAATTATGGCTGAGTGGAGTTTGAAAGATTTATAAAATTTGTTTCCATGGTTACACACAGAGGTGACATGATCATAATTGTTCTTCATGCATGTCAAAGATGTTAAAGTTACTCTTCTTATGTGTATATTATTATTATTGTGTCTCATGATCACGTGAAGGAAATTTGAAAAGTTCTTGCATATGAATTTGAAATTAAAGATCTAAAAGTACCTAAGGTATTTTAGTTGCTAGAACTAATAAAGGAATCTTAGATCCTCAAAAGTACACTGGGTATTTTGAAATATGTAGGTATGTTGGGTTGCAAGCCCACAAAACCTCCGAAGGATGTGAATTACAAACTTGGGGCAGCATTAGAAAAGGATTCAATTGACAAGGAAAGTTATCAAAAGCTCGTGGGCGGCTTATTTATTTCTCAGTGGACTAGATATTACTTTTGCAGTAATTGTTAGTCAATTTCTGCACTTTACTTGTGAAAGTGCGGGGCAAAAGTCAATGCCAGAAAACGAGATTTCCTTTTTTAGTAATGAGATTTGATTTCCAGTGTCCATGGGATTTTACCAGTTGTAAAATTGTATATTTACCATTTCAGTTAAGTTCTTGTTGTATATATTTAGGGTAATTTGATGCTTTGGAAAGAAAAAGGATATACTGCAAGGGAAACCAGTTCCATTCACATATTCTATCACGACATTTTTTTAGTTTTTCTTGTGCATTTGATGCTTTGTGTATATAACTCTTCACTTGATGAAAAAGGATTTGTGTAGCTGACCCATATTTACTTGAAATAACGCCCTGCTTATCATTGGGTAATAACTCTTCATTTCTTTTAATTGTGTAGATTTGTTGAAAGGATCCTTTTATGCAAATCCAGTATGTGACCTTCCTACAGATGATGCATCGCTTATCAGACGGTAATAAATGATACTCCTGCGCTTTCCATGACTATTTGATGTGGATAATATTACATTGAGAAGGGGAATATATTCCTACAGTAATTTGTTGAATGAACCAACAGAGAATTCCATGATTCACTTGATGACATGTTACTTTAGACTTTTATTAGGTTAAGCTGTGCACATTTCCCTTATGGAGTTAAATGCATAAGCCATTATTGCTGGTCTTCCTAAAGATTTTCCGGTGTTCTTTCTTGTTAGGTACCCCTCCTACTGTGGACAAAATATATGGCCTCAGGATGCTTTACCAGAACTTGAGTTGGGTATGCATTGATAACCTTTCTTTCAGGATGTCTCGATATCCAGTACCAAAGCTCCCATATAAGTGGTGCCTCAAGTTTTTACAGTTCTTTCCCCTTGAAACATGTACTGATTTATAGGTTACTAGGTTTATGTTTGGTGTAGATAAAACTTTGTGATGGTGCATCGGAAAAACTAATGTGCTGTCATTCCCGTACAAATTGGTGCCTCCAGTTTCATTTTTCTTTTGTTTCTCTCCTGAAGATTTGACTGTTCTTTACATGTGTGTTTGGTGTAGATAAATTTTGGCGGGTTTATCAGAAAACTAATGTATTTACTGTGCTGGATAATATGTATTTGGTCTAATAAAATTACTAGTTGGTAACTGATTCAGTAAAAACTGTTCTAAAACCAGGTTTCTAATTAATTGTCTTTTGAGTATATTTGGGTATCAATTAAAGTATATGATGTCTATGATGCTAACCTTTGACTGTATAGAGCTAATTTGTAATTTCTCACTGTTCCAATCATGCTGCAACTCAACATAGCTCATTGGTTGTGTTGGTTTCAGATGACGTCCCATCATTGCTAGATTTAATTGTCTGTCAGTTCCTTTTAAACCAGTCCTGTTACTTTTTCTTTTGGCATATTAATTTGTGTCAATTTGTAAGGCATCCTCAGCTTAAATTTTGTGCATTAGAGTCATTGGCACCTAAGATAAAGCACTTCTTTTGGCTAGCCATGACGCTGATCTTAATTATTATAATTGTTATAGTTTGAGGAAATGTCAATTGAGCAGTGTTTCTCTTTTACCTCTATAATTTCTTTGGTTTTGGAAATGTGGTTACTTAACATTGTTCCTTACGATTTGGTAGCTTTCAAAGCTCTGGGAAAACTGATTCTGGATGTTGGCTTGCTGTTGGCATATCACTGTGATGGTTACGGTAAGTACATGTTTAAGATTTTTCTTTTTTGTTATGTCTTTGAAATGACTTCTCTTATCGTCCAGCAGTTTCTATTATCAGCTTTATCGGAAATTTTAAGTATACAATACCAAGGAATGCATATTTAATTGGTTTCTATGGATTTACTTGTATACAAATACAAACTGAGTTTTATTTCTAATAAAGGTCGGATTTATTTTATGCCACTGTATTTGGTCCATTGCTACACCTAAACGAATATATGATGAATCAAATCCTTTCTAACAAAATCATCTCACGTGCTTTTGGTCTGTCTCCTCCTCTTCTCTTCTAATCTGTTCTATGGGCACCACAGAGTTTTTTTGATTGAGAGCTTCTTTTGCTCTACACTATGCACCCCGACTTAGTTGCTCTACACAAGACACACACCTGGCTACATAAGTTGTTCTTTTATTGTAAATAGGTACTACCCCTACTTGGCAGCATATATTCTCATTTATTATGTTAACCAGTATGTTCTTATAATCCTTTCATGAAACACCATACCTTTTCATAGAAAGGACGAAATGTATATGACTTCACATTTTCTTATTTTTATAAGTACTAGGTTTGTGTATCTCTTGACAACGACCAAATGAAACATAAATGAGTGTATTCTTGTTAATAAGATCTAATGAACATATGTGATGTCTTAAGTTAATGTTCTTGATTGGCCCTGGGAATGCTACTAACATTTATTTGGACTTATACAGTATCTGAAGGGCTGAAGCACGATGATGAAGGTCTTCAACAAATTCTTCTTCGGTCCCGATGTCATAAAGGTCGCTTGCTTTATTATTTTCCTGCCCTTCAAAGGTACTTTTTCTGTTTACTCTTTTGCTTTTATAACCATATTTTTGAGTTCTTTTCCGTGACTATAATTTTTCTGCTGTTAGTATAACAGTGCATAACATCAATATTATTTTATGCTTTTTTAGTAACTAAGCACGTTGATGCACAGTGGTGTAAATAGGGTTGGCCTCCCTGGCCCAGGGTGGCCTGACTCGTAAAAATCCCTCTCATTGGCTTGACCTACGGGAACCCAGACCATGCTGGGCCAAGGCTCAAACCGAAGAGCCTACAATCCCAAAAAGAAAATGAGCAATTTGATACAAATGGAAATTGACGAACTCAATGTACTTTCCTTTTACTTCTAAACTGATCAACATGATAACGTAGTGACATTGAAATAGCTCTATATTGTCTCAACTTGTTAAATTGGTAAATAAAGGTAGCATCCCTATCAAACTACATTAGTCCTTCAACTTCCCTAGCATTGCCAATCATCCTACTTGATGACAGGCTCTAGAATTCACATTGAGAGCTAAAAATTTAGCAGCGCAATTAAGATTATCTGTAAAGTTACCTTTTTGAGCATAGGAAGTAGTCGAGATGGAGGATGATTGGTTCCCATGTAAAGTACACTTTAAGTTTCTCAAGTTGTTCGTTGCTGAAATTTGGCAGTTGCAAAACTCTAATATTATTAGGTTGTGAAGAGTTTTCCGTGACTGTGTGATATTTACTGGAACTGAGGTGTTCAGGGGGACAGTTTGGCCTTGAGTTTTTTGGTTTACCATGTATTCCTCCGGCAGATTTCCGTATTGTGGCGGTTGTTATTACAAATATCCCAAAATAGCTTGTATTTTTTTATCTGTTCTGTCTTGGATTTCTTGCACTATTGTAGCTGTGACTTGTGGTTCTCTAGTCAAGTTCACTGTAGAGTTGTCACTGTGAGCTTGTTTGGGAGGGATTAAAATCGGATTAAAATTGAAAAACCAGCCGTTATTGTTGACTTTTATTAGACGGGTGGGACCCAATAATAACTATATCTTCAATTTTAATTGGATTAAAATCCCTCACAGACAAGCCCTGAATGGACTAAAGGCTACGACAAGTGCAATTTGGCTTCCCAGTCCAACATTCTTGTCAGCAAGTCTCATCTCTTAGTACAGAAATATGGCTGACAGTGGGTTATGGCCCTTTACCCAAGATTGTCTCCTTCATCAAATTCTTTATTAAGGCCAACCTTAATTTTTAAGGATAGGCCGTTTTGCTAAAAATAAGATTTTTAGTAGATTTTGGTAAAAGTTAATGAAATGTGTGGTTGAAAAGTTGATAAGAGTTGTGGGTCCCATGAAATATGTGTTTAAAATTAATTGTTGACTTTTACTTAGAATTTCATCAACTTTTTTAACTAAACCAAACAGGGGATAGATCTCTTTCTTGAACTTTCACAATCTGAGAGCTATTGGTGCATGCCAATTCGAGCCAGAATAAATCAAATTCTTATTGCAACCCCTTCAAGATGTTGTGGGCTGTGTAATAGTGTTTTGCCATTCATGTCTAAAAATTGAAATTTCAGTTTCGAACATTTGGGTGGAATTGTCTAAATCTGAGTCGGTTTCTTTTACTGCCTCCCAAATTTCTTTTGCAGCAGACTGGAACATATATATTTGCCCAATTTTTGGTTCCATGAAATTTATTGTTCAAGACATCATCATACATTTTTCCAAGTCACAAACATTGAACTTTGGATCCATTCATCAGGAGCTTTAGCTGAAACCCAAATAGCCAAATTCCCCTTGGTGTGAATGTAAAACTTATTGTTTCAGCAGGGATTGGGGATTCTGATCCCTGTGACTGAGTTGTAGAGTTGTTGTTGGCTTCTGCAGTTGTGCTGGTGGCCTCATGGCATCACCTGACAAATGACATACTTGACAAACACTAGAATTGGGCGCTTGGCTCTAATACTATATACACAAGAGTGATGCAGCTGTCAAAATTATCATTAACTTGTAATTGAGTGATGTCTTTGGGTTTATTATGAAACAGTAACTATAAGAGAAAATTATAACCAGTAATGGAGTGTTGACGTCCCAAAGAATATTAAATAAGCTTTTGCCATTTAATGCTATTTTGCAAGTCTGCGTTATAAACGTTAGCTTTATGTTCACACTTGCACTTTGAATTGTTATTGTCCTTGTGCATATCAGAGCTTCTTTGATATTGCACATCTTCACATGATTTAGCGTTCTTCAATCATATTTGGATCTGTGGATGTTGCCTATGAATAGTTTCTTTTCTAATGCTGGGATTTTTCATTGGGGGATTGAAATTGTGATGTTTTAAGTTATTTTTTTTCTTCATGTAGTAAATTCTCATTTGTGGAAGTCTATTTCTAGTAAGGTTCTAGGTAGAAAATTATTAACTTCCAAATTTTTGAGCAAGGTATGTTTTGATTTCTCCATTGTCATTAGTTAACCAGTGCAAAATAAATTTTCTTCCAGTGGCTATGCTGAAGATGGAAATGCAATGTCATCATGGTGTGGATGGCATACAGATCATGGTTCACTCACCGGTGAGCAATTTGCAATACATGAATGTAGAAATATGCTATTGGAAATTGGATAACATAAGTCTTTTCTGCAACACGAATAAGCGTTATGGTCAAGAAAAATGAAGACAATAGAACTTGAGAATAATAAAATGGTTACTTTTGTTGTCACAGGACTCATAGCTCAAAATACATTGTTTGAGTTTTGCTGGTATTACTTTGTCTTCAGTGACTGTGAATGGAAAAAAAAAGTGAGGCAGATCATTTAGAGAGGTGAATTAAAGCATAATCAGATAGTTTGGTGAGTTCTAATTTATGTTTCAAGATAATTAATAAATAAAATTGATTAGATCAGTATTGGTTTTGTCAAATTCAGTTTGGTGACTCCATCGTACTTATATAACTAAGATTTAGAGAATGTTTAGCCCCATTTTTTTTGGGAAATAATGCATTTTGGAATGGTATTTTAATGGAGAATGTGTGGTTAAAAAATAAGAAAAAATTTTGGGTTTGCATGTAATATTATTTCATTAAAGAATTTGTGATTGAAAATAAGATAAAGAAAAATGTATTTTGGAAATAATGGGGACCAAACATGGGCTTAGATTTGTAAAGTGATTTATATCACGGTCAAGTGTGAAGGGTGTTTGAATATAATTGCGTCCATTATTTATGTCGTACATGGGAACCTAAATTTTGGGAATCAAGAAAATTTATTTTGCTAGTCATTTAACTAGATTAGTACATAGATATCTTAGATATTAATTGATTATAAGAGTCGGACTCACTTTGGAAAAATTCATCAATTGTGTAAGTTTAATATATTCTGGTGGTTTGAGTTCATTTCCTTACAGAAGATATGATTGGGAAAGAAAACAATAGAAACTAAAACAAAACTTCATTTTCATTTATGACCACATTAACATCTAAAATGGACCTAGTTTTAACTTCAATAATTTCCACGGCCATGAGATGTAATGCATGGTTTGGTTATTGGATACGTTCTTTTTTACCAAGAAACTCAAAAATCTGGGTAGAGTTCAATGGGTCTTTTTCTGGCATGTATTGATCTAATGGATGCTGACAACAATTTCATGATTATGATACACTTTAACTTGATTTTATCGTTTCTCATGTTATGTCTGAATGCCGCTTGAACTCATCATGTAGGTCTTACATGTGCCATGTTTATGAGAGATGGTGTAGAATTACCTTGCCCTGATAGTGCTGCTGGCCTTTATGTGAAAACGCGCTCCAGTGAAATAGTCAAAGTATATTTCCTTTTGCTCATAATAATAGTAGCGTAAAAGGTATATTGGTATTTTACAGACTTAATATTTGAAGTCTATATTTCAAGTTGTAAATAGCAGCCTATCCTAAATTTTATATGAAAGCACTTGGAGAAAGCAATACTTCTGTTCTCTTGTATTGTTTTTGTAAACATACATCCCCATATTAACATGATGAAGTGATCTTGAATAAGGAATCAAACACTAGCTGTGCTAAGGTAAGAAATGTAAGGAATTAAATAACAAGACCTATAAGGAAATACTTAACTTTCCTAGTATTAGAAGATTTTCCACAATATATTCAATGATATGTATAGATTATATTTCATTTTTTCATTAGCAGATCATTAGGATAAATTTTCTGTAACAAAAATGTTAGCAGTAGATCTGTTACTGTCATAAAAATGTCCACGTTCATCAAATCTGGTGGAGCCAAAAGATTTTCTATTTTTAGCAGATTATAGAGTAACTATAGGCATATGTAGCTGTACTAGAACTTCTTTATTGTTCTCTTTTTAGGTGTACTGAGTAGGTTGTATATTATGTAGAGTAATTCAACTAAAATAGAAATACTTCTTTAGTTGCGTGGTACCAGAGCTGGCATACTTTTGGCCTTCATTGCCAATTATTTTTTGTCTTTCAGCCATTATCTCAGATCCTGTCCATGTACTTCCTTTCAAGCTTATCAATCTCTCTATTCTGATGACAAAAATTTACTGAAATATTCCATTGCAAAATATCTCATCAGCCAAGATCTGTTACCCAATTTAAAATCTAATTCTTTGCATTACTTCGATATTTGATGATGGAGATTTTCTTGAGTAGTGAGAAACTATTACTACCTCTACTTAAAAAAATTTTGGAGTACTGTTAAGGAACCGAAAGCCTCAGATCCTTCCTTCGAGTCATTGGAGGCTGGATAAAATGCCCATTAATGAACTTGAAGACTGGATAAAATTACATTTTGCTATTTTGCACCCCCTATGACCAAGTTTGGTTTAACTGTGCTCCGAAAATATACCTAAAGAAATTGCTTCTGCACTTGTAAAAGTTATTGGAGTAAGAACAAATTGTGGTGTGCTATTCAATTTCTATATGGTATTTTTCTCTCTGCTTTGGAAGATCAAGTCATAGTTATGCTGTAAGGAGATCAATATTCCTTGGTTATAACCATTCTCAATCTCTTATTCCTTTAGGTGGTGTATGGGGAAGATGAAATAGCATACCAGATTGGTGAAACAACAGAGATATTGTCAAGAGGTCGGCTTTGTGCGACACCACATTGCGTCCGAGTATTTTCTGCTAAATCTCTTAGTCTACATGAAACATATGTGCTGCAAGTTTAGTTAGCATCTTTTATTTTCTTGCAAATCCCTCACACTTTTCTGTGATTTGATTGTATGTCTTTAGAATGAGGATGCAGGGATAGCGTGCATCTTATCCCATTGTTTATTTCCGTATAAATTCTAATAATTTTTAGATTAATGACTTTATACAAAATACGGATTTGTGGTTGTCAATTTACAACTTGAAATACTGATCCCTATTTTACTTTTTTGGAAAGACGTTTAGATAAGATATTAATTTACACTATGGTTCAACTAGAACATAAAGTACAGGCAACAATTTTTGCTCATCACTCATCAAATATTGGAAATGCAAGTATGTCTCAAGTGATACTTGACTAAGCTCTCTGTAGTCTTTAAGCTACAACCTTTTTCTACATTATGCTTTCTAACTTCTTCCCGTGTTCATAATTTGGTCTTCCTACTACCTGTCCCTCTCCCTATGAAAAATATACCAGTATCCTGGGTTGTCTCTGAAATTATCTGTCCTATTTGTTGAATTAGTCATCACGAGTGTCAGAACAAATGCACGACTTGAGAATAGGTAAACATACTCTGTTACGACTGCGCATATTTCGGTCAACAGAGGTGTGCATGCATGGAGTTCTGCCTGGCCAGGCCACAGATTGCAGTGTCAGATAGACTGCTAATAGAGGAATCCAGCAGCAAATATGGTAATCCAGCTTAATATTCGGCTCTTGACAGCTGACGACTCTTTAAACTGGCTAAGCTGGGAAGGAAAGATTGTTTCCCAGTTGAGGAAGGATCAAACTAAATGCATGTGGGTGTTCTTGTAGCTGGAACAACCTGTGGCAATAATTTTTTCTGTCATTCTATTTGTATTTGACTCTTTAACATCTTTTTCATGTAAAAGTATACACTCCGATGATTCTCAGGAATATGGGTTCTAAGATTGAAATTCGATCCATGATGTAATATCACAGCCAATGACACCATTGTGTTGATTGCCTTTTTTGTTGGTCGATTCTTTTGCAGCATGCGTGAATTGATATCCCCCCTCCCCTGAAGTTTTCATTCTAGTAATGATTAAACTAGAGAACTTTGTGATGATATTGATTTTTCCTAAGCAAAGTTTATTATGTACTTCAAAAATCACCCATATGTTTTGCCACATCATCTAAATTGAAGTTTTGAGGAAACATGCTGGATCTTAGACCGATGCATATGATGGTGAGTGCAGTGAAAGAAGTTATGCTTATGCACTGGCCACACATAATAAGGAATGTGAATAATCCAAGTTTCATAATATTTATTATTTGTTTCCCATTATTTTTTAGGGCTTACCATGTCTCCATATTGTGTAAGATATTTGAATCCCTTGGCTTTTCCTCTTTCTGCACTACTTATGGGCTTATGGCTGTATAATTTAGATGATTGATTTATATTGTGGTTAATTGTTAGGCACCAAAAGGGGAGGCAGCATCTGGAGTTGACCGTTCGACATTTGCATTATTCATGCAGCCTGATTGGTACTTCTGCAGACATAAATCTGTTTACATAGCTGTTCATTTCAAGTGGGTCTCTGGTCATAAAAAGTTTCCTAAATATTTTCCAATTTGAACCTCAGTTTTGAGACATTTGATAAACAAGGTTCAGTCATCAGAGCAATCAGGATGTGGGAATTGAAAAAATAGTTAGTTGCAAGCACTATGTTAAGCTCTTAACATTTTACATGGAAAAAATAACCTATATGCTTTAACTAGTAGTAATGACTGTTAACAAAATGGAGCTATATTTCTTTGCTCTGAATTTTCAGATCTTGCTTGGCTATTTCCTAATAGTTTGATTGCATAATTGAATTAAAACCATTCCTTCTCTAAATAGTTGTAACCCGACAAATACAGGTAATTATTATTATTGGTTTTTCAGTCACAATCATATTTTGTACACAGTTTAAAATGGTACAGAAGTAAGTTTCAATGCTGCCTTCTGTTGTTCAGCGTGTGGCCTTGTTACGCTTGTCCGGCCAATATATGCATATTTTTTTACCTGTTAGTATTGCCGTTGTCCTTGGTTGTTGCAGTTGCCGCCTGCAGGCTTGCAGTGGCTGTTTGATTGTTCCTTTGAGCCCTAAATTTTGGGCCTTAATTGGTTCTACTGTTTTCTTCATATCATTGCCTATGTTGCCTTCTTCATTCCCCCTATCAAAGTTGCCTCCCTCAGAAGTTTGGGTCTGTTACTTTTTGGGTTGTTGGGGTATTCTAGACTTGTGGTATTGGGTTGAGTGGTTTATTTGTTGTGGTATGTGTGCCTCTCTGGTGATGACCACTCCTTTCACCACTTGGGATTTCTAGGAACCATTTGTTGGTTGCATAGCTTTGTAGCTATCTTGCCCATCTTTATTTATTTATTTATTTTTACATCCTAACAGTGACATCATTTCTGCAAGTCATTCACTTCTTTGGAGATTATATAAGCATTAAAACAAGTAAATAAAGTTTACGACCTCTTGTTTGAATATTGGGCACTTCCTCTAAAACTTTGGATTGAAATGATTAACATGTTATGGGCACCATAACCATTGAAATCAGATCAAATACTCATCAGAGAAGTGAAAGGGAACTTTGGTTCTTCAGGTGAAATATGGAATGGAGAAACTAGTTAATGCATGCAACAGCACCTGAAATTTTTCCTGTGATCAGAAGCTTAGAAAGTTCTCTAGAAAAGTGGGATATCTGGACTGTAATTCCGAATTTGATTTGATTGCAACTATATCAGTCTCATATTTTTATCTTGCTATTGTTTACACCCATTAGCGTGTACATATCAGTTGATCTCCATATTATATCAAGTTCATGTCTTATTGTGTATGATTTGTTCTTCCTAATCTGTTTCAGGGATGAGAAGCTCAATTTTCCAGATGTGGTGAATATTCACCAGGAGGTGAGTCTTTAGAATACCTAACTATTATGATAGAGATGTGATACTCGAAAAATACTGCACTGTGTGCTTGCTTTCCAAGAATCCACTAGTGTTGGCCAAAAAAAAGGGGGAGACAAGGCTTTGTTGCACGCCAAAGAACAATTTTTCTGTAATTTTCAATGTCGTGTCTTCCAATTTGCCTATTTATCTTCTGAGTTCATATTCATGTCTTGTCCTCCAGTTTCTGATATTGCAAAATCATTTATGTTCATGCGTTTTTCTACCGAGGGGATAAAAGGTTATTCTAATACCTTTTGTTTTCCTAACTTTTTCTTACAGTTTCTCCAGCCTAATGGATCTCTGTCCTTCGGAGAGTACACAGAAAAGCTACTCGACAAGTACTATAACCTTAAATCTTAAAGCTTATTCAGTAGTGTAGAGCTATTTTATAGTTCTTACTGTTTTGGTGTCAAGAAACTATTAGATGTGGTTTCTTGTTCATCAATATTAATTTCAGTTCTTCAGTATTGCTCATCTCTTAAATGGTTCCGAATATGTTCTGGTACGGTGGTATCCATGCTTATATTTAGAATGTGATACAAGTTTGTTGTATTAGGCTTAGTCATTATTGCCAAATTATAGATTTATATGTAGAAATCAGATGTATTTGCTTACTCTTAGTTGCTTGGAATCAGTGAGAAAATGTATTTATCGGTGTTATAAAACATCGGACTGGACCAACTTGGTGTAGCCCTTGCCCGGAGAAGACATGTCACTTCACATTTTGGCGAGACATGCGCTTAAAATGTATAAATTATCAGTGGTGGAGCCAGTAAGAGTGTAGTGGGGACAAGATTTAACTACTAAAAATGTTTCAGAATGGATAATAAAGCTAATATTGAAATTTCATGCAAGTATTCTGGCTTTGAACACAACCGTATCGTAGGTGAAGAATCGAATATTTTAGATGAGATTGTACAGAAATTCAAACTGGTCGACAGATCGTGTGCATCTGTCACGCTGTCTGTCTGTTCAAATAGCTTTATCCATATTTAGCTTATCAGATTAGATTGGATAGGGTACTAGAATAAATTAATTTAGAAGAACTACAATCTTAGTAATACTGGATTGAAATAATACGCTTTTGTGATACAGAAATTAATATAGTAACATTTTACAAACTATTTTGGGCATCCCAATGACATGATTTTGGATATTTTAGAGCACCCGATTTCTCTAAGAAGCATTATGCAAACAATGTCTGACAATAAAAATCACATGTGACACAAAATTAAATGACAAGTAGTCTATTAATTTATTATAATCTTTACAAAATCATGATAGTGACACATCATTTATTTTCTCTCTCTTCAACGAGTAGGACATGGCCTCAAAATTCACCCAACTTTATATCATCCTGGCAGATTGCATTTCTTAGTCATGCATAGAAATTGTAAATCAATTACCAAAGTCGTTCTATGTTTAGTCTCCAATATATCGTAATTATTTATGCAGAAAACTTAAATAGCAGAGAAAACACAAAATATCCTAAACAAATAAAAATTTTCAAGTCACCGTACGAAATTACATGTCAAATAACTCAGTCCCAAATTTCAAATAAAATGAACGACCATAACAATCATATATGTTTGGCCAGATCAATTAACATAAATCTACTGTTTAAAAAATTAGGACATAATGTTGACATATGTATAATAATTATCCCTTGAATTTATTTGATAAATCATTTCATGAACAGTAATTACAACTACAATAAACTGGTTATTAAACTACAATTCTCTTTAATTAATTTAAATATTTTATTGTATAAAATAGATGATAAATTATATGTTGGCTCCACTGATGTAAAATAAAATACACGAAAATGCATAATTAAATAAAACATGTTCAAGTCCTAAATAAAATATCCACAACAATAAAACAAATGTTAATGCTGAAAATAAATAGGTCTTGTCATATTACACCGAATTATTTCTCTTTAGTCCGAAAAATCCCGGCACCACGACCGCACCTCACTGCCCGCCGACCAACGTCCCGATCTAACCTATGAAGAGTAGAGAAAATGGTGAGTACATAGGAATACTCAGTAGGATATAAAATAACAGTGCAATCCCGAATAAAACTTTTTTGGAACATGTGTCAAAAATTATCATACCGTTATCATACCTTTGGAAATCGGTAAGATCTCATATCATATCATATCATTTGTACCGGAATGGTCATATCATTCATATCATATCATAACTTTAACTTTCATGAGCATAATAATTCATCAACATGAAAAAAAAAATTTAAATAGGATAGAATAAATTGCATTTCGTTATCCTACCTTGTTAGATCAGATCCTTGAAAGATAAAACCACAAAATTACGTTCCACATTGTTGTTTGCCTCTCTTTTTTTTTTTTTTTTTTGTGTGTAGAAAAGTTATAATAGAACTCTATAAAAGTATTGAATTTCGTGTAGAGATTGGCATGACTCTAACACACGTCTCTATCCATGTGAAATGAGATGTCTCAACCAACGACTTAGTGGGACATTTGGCATGCTGGTAAAATTTTCGCCAAAATATAAGGATGACCATTTGACTCATTCTACAACAATTCTGCCAATATTCCCATGGCTTCTCATAACTTTCTCTCTCCTTTAATTTTTTTATTATTGTTATATTTTCTTTCTGTATTTGATTAAATCAATTACTAATTACCCACAACTTGCTTTACACATGTGTCAGCCATTTAAAATAATGGGGGCCAAGGGCAAAAGTTTCTAAACTCATTAAATAATTCAATTAAAATACCATTAAGACAATATCTTTCAATATCGATCTCTAGGGCTTCGCTAATCCAAATTAACTTTTTCTCGAACCTAATATGCATGATTAATTACGATCTATCCAACGAGTCTAATATTCATATACTTACCATTGCTCCATTAATATCTAAATATTTGACACAATTAAAAATTGAAATTTAATATATATGTCGCTCTAGTTCCTAACTTCAAAATATTAAAAATATAGCATATAAAATAATAACTTTTTCTCGAGCCTAATATATATGATTAATTACGATCTATCCAACGAGTCCAATATTCATACACTTACCATTGCTCCATCAATATCTAAATATTTGACAGAATTAAAAATTGAAATTTAATATATATGTCGCTCTAGTTCCTAACTTCAAAATATTAAAAATATAGCATATAAAATAATTAATTCTAGTCTAATAAAAAAAAATTGGGACTTTACAACGTGGACTCAGTTGTTGCAGCCATTATAAACTGTTTTTCACAAATCAATTAAAGTAGACTGTGGAAACGACCATTGTGCTCCTTAATTTTTTCATTCAATCTGTTTAAGCGAAACATTTTTGGGATTTCGAAATAGAAAAATAAGGTTGCTTTTTGGTTTGTCAATAATTGCGATTGAAGTTGGGTCATCTTCACTGTTCATCACGGTCGGATTTTGTATTAAAATTTGGAAAGAATGGTACCCAAACAGGCGCTATAAGTAAATGAGTTATTAAAATAAATAATTTTTTTCATCAATCGAAGTTAAACGTAAGTTTAATGAAATGAGACAATCTTATCAGAGTAAAATGTCCCTCTTCATTTATCAATCATGGACTATAAAATTTAAATCGAATTATACATCGAATATTTTGTTACTTGACAACTTAAGCACTCGATTCAATATCAAAACGATCTACCAGTAAATACAAGCTCAAAATAATATCATCAATTTTATCAGAAAATAAATTAATATTTTATTTAAAATGTCGTGAAAACAAATAAATTTAATCTACATACAAAAACTATCTACCAATATGTTCACTTGGTTTTAAAAAGGAAAAAACTTCTATGAAAGTCCAAATTGAAATGGTAGTCCTGAATCAATAAGGTTTCCAATGATCTCTAAGTTTTCCATTAATGTTTTTTTGTATTGATCAAAAAATAATTCGAACGTGTCTCGAAATTCTGCAAACTTCAGAAAATTAGATGAGTGAAGAGAGAAATTTGATGTCCCTTCGTTCTAAGGCTCAATAACATTGCTGTGTCGGGAACTCTCATTGCATATATTTCCCTTAATTTCATGGTTTCTTGTAAAAAAAAAAATAGAGTTCATTAAATTTTTGAATTAATCCCCACGTAAGGGGATTATTTTCACGGGGGCTCACCAGACTTCTCACATGGGTGGAACCCACCGTGTATTAAAAAAAATTATACGCGGAACTCACATGTGTGAGTGCCGCACATAAACGGAGGAAAGTATCATCAAGATTCAGGAGAGACACGTATTATTGGTGGTCTACATGGAACCGCGTCATCTAAAAATTTAATAAGATACAATTTATTTATTTGGAATCCATTTTACCAAGAAAATGCATTTTGGAATAGTAAAAAGTTGGAGAATGTGTGATTGAAAAATAAGAAAAAGTTTTGGATTTACGTGTAAAATTATTTTATGGAAAAATGTGTAATTGAAAATGAGTATTGAAAAAATGAATTTTGAGAATAATGTGGTAATTTAGTTTTCGACTCTTTCTTGTTGCTGCACGCAACTCATTGACTTTGTTACAGTAAATCTTATTGAATATTGCACCGTGAATTGAAGCTCCGAATGCAAACTAAGAGTTTGTTTGAGCCACATTTTTCTTATTAGTAGCGTGAAATGTGCATAATTTTGATAAATAAGTGATGAAGCGGATTTTTTAAACTTGTTTAAATAGTAAAATGTGGAAATAGGATTTAAATAAAATAAAGCACCGAAAAATAGACCCCGGAAGAAATTGCAAAAGTTCTCGAATTTCTTGTTGAAGATTCGAACTTCGAATATCTAGTAGATTTGATGTCGCTGCAAGGGACATTCACGGATTGCAGATCGAGTTCTTACGAGAACTGAAATTAGAATCTCTCTCTCAAATACAAAACTTGTAGCCTCTCACTAATAGGGGGTTATCGTTCAATTTGAAGGAACTATGGAATGGAAAGAACTTTGTGCTGGTCACTATTATATCTTCTGCTTCCTGCAAAAAAAGGAAAAAAAACTTGTAATTTTTTTCTTAATGTAACGAAAAACAGAGAATCAATGCAGTAAGCTCGGTATTTCATGATCCAGTTCATATTTGATCGAACGATTTATCGTATATGTAAGCTCGTTGCTTTCTTTTCCAGACATGTATATATGCAGCGTGTAAAATGTAGATATAAATTCGCAACGGAAGTTTGCACGTTGCTCAAACTTGACTTGTAATAAAATTGTGACGACTTGATTGAGGAATTTGACGTGGAGATATTACACCGATAATGTGCATATTATATTCAAATCAACACGTACATTTTTATGCTCATGAAATCGAAATAGTATTCGACTTACCAAAATGGAATTTGAGAAGACTAGTCGAACACGTGTCGATGGATGTTGTTGGACAAGTTTCACAAATTGTGTACCGGATATACATAATAGATACCGTATTAGTGAATTTTACTTAAGGCGTAGGCACGCCTTACTTAATTGAAATTCTGCCATAAGTTTTTACTTAAGGCGTGGACACGTCTTGAGGAATTGAAATTCTAGTTCGAAGAACTTTTAGTAAAAGTTGATCCAACGTGTAACTTTTTCTAAAAGAACTCAAAATAGAAAGTTCTTTTAAGAATTAGCCTATGTTTGGCCTCATTAAATTACATTACATTACATTAAATTTTTTTCTCTCTTCATTACAACCACACATTCACCAAATAAAATAATATTATATACAAATCTAAAACTTTTCATTACTTTTTCATCACACATTCTCCTATCAATCACTATTCCAAAAATTTTCAACCATAAAAAATGCAAAATAATGGGGGCCAAAACATGGACTTAATTTCCTTCGAAAGTGTAGGCTTTTTAAATTTGGCGAGAAGCAATAAAACCCTGTAGTTTTCATCATCTTTACAAATTACATCCCTCAGAATCAAATTGCTTTCCTAAGATTCGCAGTTGAATGTATGAACGAACAGCAAACTTTCTTCTTCCACTCTTTTCAAAAGCACAGATTCGTCGCTGCGTAACACACGTCTGTGCGATTACATGTACAGATAATTCCTGTGCTGCCGCGCGTTCCAATTCGTTTCACGCTCAGCATTCACGAATACAAGTGTTACCAAAACCCCCATTTTGACTTTCTTCCCATCTACTACCCATTCCATTCCTAGACCACCCACCAAAAGGGTAAAACGATACAGCTGCGTCCCTTTGACAAAATGATAGAAAATAGAGGCCCGTCATGCCTAATTGTGGGTAATTATTGCCACGACGTTTTGATTAAAGACGACACCGTGATAGGAGAGTCGCTGGGTGGCGCCGCCTCATTTATCTCCGGCGTCCTTGATGGGTTTTCCATCTCCTCCGCTTACGTCTCTAAGGTGGGTATCGATTTTTCATACCCTGTCATCCACCCGCCATTAATTTGTCCCTCATCAAAAACCACCGTCTTTCATGCCCATTTTTCCTCTGATATCAAACGGGATGACCGGGTCCTGAAACGGGTCTGTGCCTGCGACCCGATAACTCCTCATGATCTCCCAAACTCACATTTCAGCTTCGGGTTGGCAGTCGGTGTGGGCGGGGAAATCTTGCCGGAAACATTAGAGAAAATGCTTGATGTTTGTGATATAGTATTTGTGGACATCCAGGCTTTGATTCGGGTTTTTGATTCGGTTGATGGAACTGTGATGCTTGTTGATTTGCGAGAAACTGGGTTCTATCGATTGCTACCTCGGATCAGGTTCTTGAAGGCGTCAACTGATGAGGCGCCTTATGTGGATGTAGAGGAGGTGAGGAAGTATTGTTGCTTGGTGGTAACCAACGGGAAGGAAGGGTGCACGCTGTATGAGAAGGACAAGGCGCAGCAGATTGCTCCTTTTCCAACTATTCAGGTTGATCCCACAGGCGCTGGAGATAGTTTTCTTGGAGGACTTGTTGCGGGGCTTGTGCAGGGATTGGGGGTGCCTGAGGCTGCATTGTTGGGGAACTTTTTTGGGTCGCTTACAGTTGGGGAAATCGGGCTCCCCAAGTTCGATTTGAAGTTATTGCAGGTTAGTTGAGAAACTTGTGGTACTTTCTTTCTATTACACGGAAAAATCGTTAATTGTGTTGGATTTGGAGTCTCTTTTCGCTTGCATTGCGATCGAATTTGTTTCCATGCTATCATTGGAATTTATGCTTTTGAAACAACTAACTTATGTTCTTAGTATCATTGGGTGTTTGTCGAAGCATTTTGTTGGGCGTTAAGGAGGCTTTTCAGTGCTGGATGCTATGATATTGTGTGACTGACAAAGGCTAAGCTACGAATGGTAATACCAAAATCAAATGAAAAGGATGGGAGTCTGTAGTTGCATGTTAGCAACTAAAATGCTGTTCCGTGGCAATTCGTTTAATGGAATGATAATGAAATTCTTTTCAATCTTTATCTTCATCAATGTGATCTCAGCATTTTCTGAAGGCTTTTCGCTTAACATTTATCAGGTGTCTATTGAGTACTTCGTTTTACGTTTTTTCAGAAGTTGTATTACCTTTCCAAGCACAAATTTGGGGAGTTCCTCTGTATGTTTAACACTGTCTCCATTTTAACATTAAGAACTTGGGAGATTTTATCATTCGTGATGAGTGATGACACCTTGCTTATTTAGTAGAGAATATATTACAGAAAATTAGACGGGCTTTATATTGTTAGCAGGAATCCCCCACAGAGTGTCTTTTGAATGGACAAGAAAGATATGGTTCGTTTGTATTTCAATTTCGAGATGATTAATAAGAGAAATTTTGATTCGAACTTAGATTTTTATGTGATCCTTGTCATGGCCTCTAAGTCACATCACCAATGAAGTACCATTTTTCGGATTGTGTCGTCTTTGTTTGGGTGTTCATTCTTTCTGCTGATTTTTATGGTAACCTCCATATGGGTATTGTGTGAGGTGTGGGGCTGGGGATTCACCATGTGGGGATCAAAGAAATCCATGAGGTGGAAAGAATTTACCATAGCTGCAAGTGTGGGAATCCAACTGATCATCTTGATTTCTTTACTCTTTGGCATGCTATCCTATGATTTCTTAACATTGCTACTTGAAATCTTTATATATCGCTCATACGATCTTTGATTTCGAATTCCAGAGAGTCAATGATGAAGTGCAGCAGATGCTGTTGCAATGCACTGGATGTCCTGAAGGCCAAAATGGTGAATTGATGTTTATGAAGTCATTTGATCACGAGCAATTCCATATAGCACTTGGTGCAGCTAAATTAACCTCCACTCATCCCATCCAAGAATGTCTACGGGACTTGCCACGTTTGCATACCGCAGAGCAGTCTATCCACAGCCAGTGCAGCGGTCGACAAAAATCATTATCGAGCACCTTCTATGAAGAAGTGATCAAATCCCCAGATAATATACTTGGACAAAATTGATTACATCCCCTCCAGAAATGGACAGAAAACAAGAAATGGGAGCCCCGAAAGCCTTCCATTTTCCTTTGGTTAGAAATTTTAAAATAAAGATAGATCTAACATTGGAGTGTCTGCTGGTTGATATTTTGAAATCCTGAATCATTCAATAGCAGTTTACACCTGGTGTTTGTACTACTCTGTCCCTTGGTATATTTCTGTAAAACTTAGTTTAAAATACAGTAAAAGTTTTTTTAGTTTTGCAGCAGAGACTGCAAGTTTTGGTTTTAGGCTTGCATTTAGAGGGGACATTCTCGTTTCTATGTACTGAAATAATGGATACATTGCAATTTGCAAGAGTCAATGAGAACATGATACGGTTCTGTTTTATTGTTATTTTTTCTTATTTTTATAAATGTTTAAGCTATTTTTCCTCAAATACAATCTAAAAATTTGTTTTTTAAGAATATGTTAGTTTTTTCTAATTATTCATCATCTCTAAATTAATTGTTTAGTATGGCAAAAATTAGCTAGAAATGTTACTCTTTGTCGTTAATTGTCACATTTCGTCCTTAAAAAGCGATTTACGTCTAAAAAAATATACAAATGTAGTGCAAAAAGATGAATGTACCCTTTGACTCAAATAAACGAAAGAAGAAAACGGAAAATGTTTCATCTTCTTCCCTTTCCTAAAGCTTGGATGCCCCCATTGGAGTCCAACACTCGATTGCTAAACTAGAGAATTTATAAGAATAAGGTGCAAGTTCTAGACTTTTCGACTCCCATTTTATCAAGTTCAGCTGTATCAATTTAGGCTATACATTGTCATTTGTTTGAATTAACCTCAAACAATCAAATATAATACGAACGTGTGTTCTCGACAGAAAACACGATTGACTTTAGTCCCATTAAAATTTATCCACTGATCTACACAAATCTTGACTCAAAGTAGGTCATACAACAAATTGTTAACCCTCTAAAGACTCATTTTGCAGGATTCTTAAAAAGTTAAAAATTGCTTCTAAAATTAAAAGAATGCTTTCGTACACGTTTGAAATTTTTTTTGAAAGTATTTTATCTGAATAGAAGAACTTTTAAAAAATTGGCTTAAGTAGCTTACTCTTGAAACTCTTGTACAAGAAGTAGAAATAAAAAACAGAAACCAACCAAACGAACACTTAAAAAAAATACTTGGCCATGAAAGTTTTCTAAGCTAAATATTACAAAGCAACTCTCATGTATATTTTACACACTTATTTGGACTTTAAAATATGGATATTTAATAGTTATTTTGATCATTTATAACATAATTTATTGTATATTTCGTTTATTGGGTGAAAATCGACTAAAAGAAAGTGGAATTAAAAGAAGGAAGTGAAAATTGGCAAAAAAATGGGCAAGATTCAAAGCTTGGGGATTAAAGTGTAAATATTTAAAAGTTGTGTCGAAGCTCACGATAAATATTCGAGAATGCTATTGGTCAGTTGGGTGCAATTAAAAGTCAAAAGGAGTTAAATATGATCAAAATATTTTCACAAATCAATTTTCAACCGCACAAAGATTTTACATGATCAAGATTTCAAAATCCCGATTATGAACTTTATACTTTTTGTTTTTCTTTCATTATTATGAGTAGATAACTTCATAGTTAGAGAACAATGTAATCTATGTGTGACCATTTATTTCTTTTATACAAGATTCTAGTTCTTTAAATGCAAGTGTTGATTTTATTTATGAATTTAATACTTTAAATTTTTTGGTCAATTATTCGATGATTTTGTGAATTTATTACGAATCGAGATGTGAGTTTTAGATTTAAGCCACACAGTAAAATTCGGTGATTTAGTATAACGTATGGAGATACATTTACTAATTATTGCGATCATTAGATGGATTCTTAGATTTAATACTTTATTTAACTAAAATTTATTCACATAAAGATATGAAATTGAATTAGTTAAATAGATCCAATGAGAATTTGAGAGATGTAAATTGAATATTTTAGAAGAATTCAACCGAACACTACAATAGTAATGAATCTTGACTGACGAATTAAAGGGGATCATAGGTAAAAATTTTAAGTCCTCGCATCCACATTCGTACTTTTAAAATTCAAATTTGATAAATTGTGTATGTTAGACAATTTAGTTTAGTTAGAATAATTTAGACAGTAATCACAAACATTATTATTTGTTTTCGATCAAATTAACGTTATGAATAATTTAATCAATTGTTAGATAGTAATCCTCGTGGGAACGATATTCAAAATCATTGGTCCACTATATTATTTATTACGATTCGTATATTTGAGGGATATAAATATCGATGAAACGCTCCTTGAACAATTAGTCACGAAGTAGAGCCAGGCCATATCAGGCCCCTGTTTGAGACATATTCTCATTATTCTACTCATTTTTAACCACACATTATTCAATAAAATAATATTTTTAATCACATAAATAATTTTTCCTTTTTTTTCAACCATATATTCACCATCACATCATAAAAAATGCATTCTTTCCATTTTAAATATGTAAGTGTTATGCCCTAGGTCCAATCAATTTTGGACATAAACACTTTAAATATATATAATTGATGCATGTATGGCAATATCTATTATTTAATTGAATTAATATTCTAATAAATTAAATAATAGAATCCGTAGATTCAAGTCTTGGTGATTTGTTAATCACAAGGAATTAT